ACAGCAGTGCTAACATGCAGGACGTTTACCCCAGCGCTCCCCACAGTTTCTCACTGGAGCTGTTCTCCAGCCTTTCGACTACACTGAAAACTCAAGGGAGGCATCATGCATCAGAAAAGCATCCGTAAGTTTCTACAATCAAACTTCAAAAAAAGTGTGTATATACACAAGACAGAGAAATGAATCATTGTTAAAGGAACATGAAAGGAATGTGAACTACCTGAAATTATTTCCTCTCTAAAATTCTCAGACAGTGAATTCAAGAATACATATTCTCCAAACTAGGCAAAGTCTTCCCTGCCTCAGTGTTCATTAATTTCAGGATTATTTTTTTAATTAAATAATTACAACAAGAATGTGCATGTTCTGAGGATTCAAGTGTACATGCTAGATAAAGAAAATTAAATTTACCCTTGCAACTGTTGAGGATGGGTGGAAAGGGGCACTCGGGGTTTGTTCCACCCTGTGTAATCTTGATTAGATCTCATTTTTTTAACAGAAAGAGGAGCAGGCTGAGAAAGAAATCCCAGGCTTCTTTTGGCTGAAGAGGTCTGGCTGGATACACTAGACCTAAAAATACAGAAGGATAAGAAGGGTATGACTTCTAATGCTCTTCCTTAAATTGCTATTGTCTATGACACTGGAGTTGTATCACTATGGAAGACAAGGACGGGTAAAGCCACACAAGATAACCGGTATATATCACAATGAAAAAGAGATGTGAGAGAAAGAACTTCTTTCCAGAGCACTTAAATACTTAGCCTGGTTAAATTTCCTTACATCCACAGGTATACATGCAGTGTAACCAAGTCTTTTGTCTTTCTTAGATATTTAACAATTCTCCACACTGTATGATGAGAGGACAGATGATTGTGTAGCATGAGATCAACCCTCCTAAGATAAGCTTAACACTCATGTCTGGGCCAGAGTCTTCGTTTTCAGCCTCTTGTTTTTGTAACCTTATCACTATGGACTCAGTCCCTCATGGTTAAAGAATGGACAATGCTTCCTTTCTTCCTTGATCTTGTATCTCATCTATCTAGGGCAGACACTGAGAGTCTGATTGCACAGCACCTAACACAGAAGAATCCCAACCTCAGCAGGATTCAGTGTTACTAAAATACTGTTACTAAAGCATAGAACTGCATGCCATTTATCTGCTTGGGAAAGATGGAGCAAGGATTCAGACTAAAGTTCCAGAGTTGTATGTATATACAGAATTCGAACCATCTTGAGTCATTCAAAATGACTACAGCATACTTCAGTGATTTTACGAAGTCTTTCTATTGCAAGCAGTAACTAGAGTTTGTAGATTCAACCAGTGCAATTGTAGCCACACTGAATAGCTAGACTGTACTCCTGGGGGGAAAAAACAACTCATATGTTATACATATAAGCTGTAGACCATGTGATCAACACACAGGAAACTGAAGAGCCTAATTCCTGGGAAACAACTGTCATTTACCGTTCATGCTAGTGAATCAGTCCTACCTGTCTAGGCTGGAACTGCTGGTGGAGTACTCCTTTGCAGAGGACCGACTGCCATAAAAGGATGATGACTGCAGTGGTAAAATACCTTTAAAACAGAAAGAGTGGCAGAACATTTTCTTCCAGGTTACTCAGCTATTTATACAACCTGTTTGAAAGTATGTAGCAAAAAAGTTTAAAAATCCTCAAGTACTGTTTTCCAGAACTGGTTGGGAGAGTACTAACCCACATACTTAGAAGCACTAATGCAAATATTAACAGTATGTAAGTAAAGACATGTTGGAGTTTAAATTTAATTTAATGCCATAATCTTCATCAAAGCCAAAGTGCAAGGGAAAACATTAAAATGTCATTGAGTGGTCTTAACTACCTGAAAGCTAATAAATATCCACCTCTTGTTCAAATAGACAAGACGCAGGTAACAGAAAACTCACTACTGGTTTCTGACACAGTACTCTCAAAATTCAAGGCAAATATGCAGAAGTGAAAAGTTTCTCTTCCCACACCTGATTCCACAGTAAATTACTATATACTTGGGGCAAAATATAATTGTTTCATTGTTATGACATCATTGTGCCAGATCCTGAGACTCTAATGCCTCAGATAGTGCTACATAAAAAATGCTCTTGAGTCAAAAAACCACCTATTACGGTGAATTGCAGTGTAATTTAGTTTGGATAATGAATAACTATTTTCTTCTATCCGTGCTTGAAGTGGTTTGTGTCATTCACCTTTCAGAAATGCAGACATATGAAGGAAGTTTGCAACACTGTTACCTGAACTTGCAGGTATACACTCACAGATTCTAATTTTGACTCTGAAGTTCAAACCAGATTTTCACTCAGAGATAAACATGGACCTTACTGGCTGTTCCAGCAACACATTCGTGCCATCAGAGCTGCACTGAAAATTGAATGCATTCAGCAACATCCCTCATAAAAACATCTTGAATGGACTCCTCTATAGAGAAAGAGGCTGAGTATTTATACCTCAAGCTGAAGACGGGTGCTGCTCACCAGCTCAGGTACATGCTATCAGTGTATTGTATATAAAGCCTTGTCACATGACAGTATCCAACAGAACTTTGGTACAAACAGGACAAAAGTCCTGGACCAAAGAACTCCCCCTATAAATTCTGGGAAAGAGATAAGAAAGTAAAAGCAAACAGTACACATG